GGTCTAATATATGAATACTTTGTGTTCCTAGGGAAGATAGCATAACTAAGGATTAAAAGAATAGTAAAGGATGGAATAAAATGTAAGTACACAGGCTGAAGGGGCTCCCTGTATTTCAGATAAAAACAGAAGAGATCCAGATGTAGATATATCCAAAGAGAAAATTTTGAATTACACAAGCTTAAAAAAATCCTAAAAACATCCTCTTGGAAGAGACAATTTAACTACAAATTGGAGAGACACAGCGAGCATTTTTTGGCTAAAAGCATCCTGATACTCTTTGGAGGAATTGTCTTTTCCCCACCAGAGTCAGCACAGCACAATGTCAGCCAAACACCATTATTCTTTCCTGCCAAGAAGTGGGAACGTGACCGGAGACGAATACAGCAGTGTCTCTCTGGAACTGGAACTTTCACAGAGCAACACAAAGGCGGAAGACGGTTGCTTCTGCTCATTCGCGCCACTTCCAGCGCCTTGATGTCCGCTGTCAGTTTTCCTGAAACTGAAATTTCAGGAGTGGCTCTATGTTCTGACTTTTCAAGTCTTTTGGTGAACCTCCCTTTAGATTCTGAATTCCCCTATATCCCTTCCATAAATTTCACTTTTGCTGCACTTGGCAAGGGACCGTAAGGGAAAAGAAGATTGACAGGGGTGGGGGTGGGGGTGGGGGTGGAGAGGAGGACCCGCCAGAATGAGGACGGAGGTGGTTATATCCCCTTTCATTTGGCAGGTCCCAATAATCCAGAGCATAAGCCAGCGAAAAAAATTGTGCTTCCCTAGTGTACCAGTAGGTGGCGCTCTCACAAAATGAGATGCCCCAAAGTAAAGGGTATATGAGGGCTACTGGAACACTGTGGGCATCCTTCGGATGGTGGCATTGAATAACATAAAGCCAGAGAATAGTCAAATCAAATCTCTAAGTTGTCACTTGGGGCAGATTTGCTGTGGCCTTACTGTTTGATGCCTTCCAGACTCACAATTACTGATGTAATGGTCATATTGCTGTAGGCATAGTTCATGTGGAGTTCATTCCTTGTCTTCTCACTTCGGTAAACTGAGAATATATCAGATGAGACAGTTTAGCTGCTGGCATTTTAACGACAGAGAGTGCTTCTTCGCTTTACTATATTTATATTCTGTACACATGTTCACACAAGTATGAAGATTTCTCATATCCCGTAATGACACTAGCAAAGCAACCAGAATGGGTTGTCTTCAGAATCACTGTTAGCTGGAAGGCTTTTAAAGCTGTGGTCTGTAGAGGATTTGGAAGAAGAAAAGGTTGTGACCCACACATTTAAAATAAGTCAAGTTGTTTTTCGTGTATGAGGGCAGTAGAAAGCTATTTTTAGATAGGTGAGGGCAGGGGGATCACAGCATCCACATTTCCTTTTTGAAAAAACGATTCCAGTCAACCAAGAGAAGGAGCAAAGTAGAGCAGTAAGTACGGCGAACCGTGGTCTGAAATGACTCGCGGTTCTAACCTAAGCTTAGCCCCAATCCTAACCTGAACTCTGAGCCCAGGAACCCCTTTGGATTCGTTGTTGTTAGGGGAGTATTGCAGTCAAAGCATGAAGCTTGGTCCAGGCCTGCTTCCCTGAGCTGCTTCCTTCCTCTGCTGCTCACTTTCCTGTACCAGGAAACGTGTTTCTTGTGACACAGTCTTTGCCCCTATTACCAGATGCCTTGTTTGGTGCTTGTACTTTGTATTTTGTTTATGTATTTGCAAACAAAATCTAACCTATTCACAGGGCTGTGACTCAGAACTGAGAAATAAATGTTTCCCTCTTTCCACCAAGCAGGATGTTTAGTGCGACATAATGACCTTTTTTTTTTCTTGCTAAGCAAATTCATATTTTTCTGCGTCTTTAAAACCTGGATCAGACAATGTTATCATACAGAAATAAAAGAATTGATTTGTAAGTATATATATAAAGATATACATTGAATGACCTAAAAAAAATAAAAAAAAAAAACACCAAGAGGAAAGAACTTGAATGCTGTCACTATTGAGTGCTTGGATTAACTGTGGTATGTCCATATTTCTGGAATGTTGTGTGGCTTTAAAAAGGGGGAGTTGGGTTTATAGGCACTGAGCAATAGGAAAGGCCACCACGAAGTAAGTTGGAGAGAAATGGATGTAGAAAAATCAGAGGAGAAAACTTTTCATTTGCATGAATATTTTCATTTGTGTGCATTGATATGAACATGGGGAAGAGTGCAAACATTGAACTATTAACATTCATTGTCTTTTTTTAAATATTTTCTTTATTTTTGAGGGAGAGATAGAGACAGCGTGAGCAGGGGAGGGTCAGAGAGAGAAGGAGACACAGAATCTGGAACAGGCTCCAGGCTCTGAGCTAGCTGTCAGCACAGAGCCAGATACGGGGTTCGAACCTACAAACTGTGAGATCATGACCTGAGCTGAAGTCGGCTGCTTAACCGACTGAGCCACTCAGGCGCCCCTAACATTCATTGTCTTCAAGGAGTGGTGGGGGTAGAAGGGAGGGTAATGGGTGAGAGGAATACTATAGGGTTTTTGTTTGGTACCCCTAGGATTTTTTATTTTATTTTTGGTGTGTAATAAAAGGCAATAAAAGTATATATTGCCTTTTCAGTTTGAAAGAGAAATCCAATGGAGTAAATAATAGAGATAACTCATCCTGAATGACTTCAGTATTTTTTAATTGAGAAAGATGAATACACAATCCAGGGATAGATAAGAAATCAAATCCTTTTGCATGTCATTTTCTGTCCTTGATCTATGTGATGGATCCATTGTTGAGTCTGCTTAAAAATTACTATATGTTCAATGTTCTCAATTTAATAAATTACGTACCTAGAATTTGCCCTTTAGAAGTCTGCAATTCTGTGGTTTTTATTGTTTGGAGTCGTACCTTGCAGTTTCCTTTGCATTCCTTAGGATTTTCTATATATGAGATCATGTTATCTGTGAATATGGTTCTACGTCTTCCTTTAAAATCTTGATGCTGTTAATTTTTTTTGCCTAGACGTATTTACCTCTAGAACAACACTGAATAGAAGTGGCCAGAGGGGGGCACCTGCGTGGCTCAGTCTGTTAAGTGTCCAACTTTTGATTTCTGCTCAGGTCATGATCTCACAGTTAGTGAAATGGAGCCCTGCATCGAGCTCTGTGCTGACAGAGTGGAGCCTGCTTGCGATTCTCTCTCTTTCTTTCTCTCTGCCCTTCCCCCACTTGCATGCACTCTCTCTCTCTCAAATAAATAAACATTAAAAAAAAAAAAAGAAGTGGTCAGAGTGGACATCTGTCTTCTTCTTAATTGTAGGGGAAAGCATTTATCTCTCACGATTCAGCATGATGTTTGTATAGCTATTTTAAAGATGCTCTTTCTCAGGTTGAAGAGGTTCCCTTCCGTCTTTAGTTTCTTGAGTTTTATTTTTTTTTTATCATGAAAGAAATTGGCTTTCAATTTTTTTTTACAACCTACTTTCTTGAGGTAGGATTGATTTTAAAAAGCTGTACATATTTAATGGTTTCAACCTGGTGAATTTGGAGATAAGTATACACACATGGAAACATCATCACAATCCATGCCATAAATACATCCATCACCCCCATTGTCCAATATTTTTTCTGCATCTATTGACATAATCATGTGGTTTTTGGTTTTTACTGTTAATAGAGTGTATTCTATTGGTTGATTATTAGATATTAAACTGACCTTGCATTCTTGGAATGACTCCCACTTGGTCATGGTGCATAATCCCTTTTATATGTTTCTGGATTCAGTTCGTTAGTATTTTGTTGGACTTTTGCATCTCTATTCAAAAGAGATGTTGGTCTTTAGCTTTGTTTTTGTTTGTATTTGTGTGCTGACTGGGGTTTTGGTATCAGGGCAAGATTGGTCTCATAAAATGAGTTGGGGAGGGTGTTTTCCTCTGCAAACTTTTGGAAGAGTTTGTGAAATATTGATGGTAATTCTTCTTTAAACATAGGGTGGAATTCAATGTAGAAGCCACTTGGTTGTGGGCTTTATTTTGTGGGTAGTTTTTGATATTAATTCAATCTCTTTACTTATTATGGGTCTACTCAGATTCTGTGTTTTTCCTTGAGTCAGTTTCAGTCATTAGAGTATCTCTAGGAATTTGTCTGTTTCATTTCATTTAAATAATTTGTTTCCATACAATCATTCATTGTATTTCTTTATCATTCTTTCATTTTTTTTTAAGTTTGGTATGTATATTACCAGTTTGATTCCTGATTTTAGTAATTTGAGCTTCTTTCTTTTTTCTTGATCAGTCTTGCTAAATGTCAATTTGTTGATCTTTTCAGAGAAGCAGCTTTTGCTTTCATTGATTTTCTCTGTTGTTTTTCTATCCTCTCTTATTAACTTCTGCTCTAATATTATTTCCTCTTTCTTCTTGCTTTAGGTTAACTTGCTCTTCTTTTTTTAGTTTCTTACAGTTGAAGATTAGGTTAATCATTGGTAATTAAAAAAAATTTTTTTAATACAGGCATTTACTGCTATAAATTTCCCTTTGAGCACTGCTTTATCTCCATTCCATAAATTTTTATATGCTGTGTTTTTACTTTCACTCATCTTACAGTATTTTCTAATTTCCTTTGTGGTGATTTCTTTCTTGACCCATTGGTTATTCAATTTCCACACTTACGAATTCTTCAAATTTCCTTGTGTCATCAATTTCTATTTCATTCCACTATGGTTGGAGAACATAATCTATTTCCAATCTTGTTGATTTATCGGGGCTCATTTTATAGCTTAACGTATGGTGTATTCTGGAGAATGTTCCATGTGCCTTTAGAAGATCGTGTGTTCACTGCTGCTGGGGAAAGTGTTCTTAAAGTGTTCTGAGAGGTCTAGTTACTTTATGGTTTCATACATTACTTTATAAAATCAGTTTGTACAATCTTGGATATATTACATGATTGAAATTGTATAGAAACTCTCAACAAAATATTCGGAAGGAGATGTGGCTGGGGCTTTGCCAGCCTCACTATGTCTGCCATTTTCAATTTTCAGAGTCGGTTGACTGTAATCTTGCTGCTTGTATGTTCCTGTGTTTATATCCCATCCTTGGTACACAGCTTCCTGGACAGAAGTAAAACTGGACTGTTGGGTATATTTTGGAAACATTCCAGAATTGGTGAACAGCAGAGTCCTTATGTTGCAGTGTGCTGTATAGTGATGGCCTCCAGCTTCCTCTTCGTACAGTGGCTCGGCAAAATATTGTAATTTAATTGTCATCAGATTTCAGTATGAAAAAAGGATTTATCTGCAGAAAATAATGGAGTGAATGGTTAGCTCTTTTATCTCAGAACATTGAATGAGATAAATTTCTAGCTGCTGTTCTCTATTTTTGTTGCTGGACTAATGTTCTGAGTAAATAAGATGTAACCATTTAACACTGAAAGAGTTAAACACGTCTGTAACAATCAACCCGAGCATTGTCGCTACGGCATTACATTGTGCAAATGTTATTCTGCTGTGTCAGGTACCAGTTTGTAGTGAGGTATGTCTAAGGCATAGGATAGAAAACAAATGTGATAAATTACTCAAGTGCCTTTCCCTGTGATTTGGAAACGAAAAGCCTTTATAGAATAAGAAAAAATATTCTGAGGGAATCCATGAATTTTGATAATTACCTCTACCTGGTGGGACTGTGAATGGCTTCCCCCCTTATTCTATTTTCCATATTCATTGTGATGAGCATGTATTATGTAATATTGATAAAATAAACTTAAAAACAAATCAGACAAAATGGAAGAGGGCAGTGGGAAAGACTTACTGAAGGAGGTAATGAAATTGTGGTAAGATTTATCCAGGTATGTTTCTCATCGCAAAACATTGTGCAAACAGCACGTCCTCAGTGCTATATGTTGAACCGAAGATGATAGCTTTCCATCTTTCCAAACATTAAATATAAATGTAAGGAATTGACTGGTCACTTTGGCTTTCACGTTAAACTTGTAGAGTTAGTGCAGCTTATATTTGTAAGGTGTGAGAAAAGGGGCCTCTAAGGATTGGAATCTTCAATCTTTCCTTTTTTTGAGGATGAATCTCCTATTATCTGTCGACAGCCTTGTTGCTGTCAGTCAGATCGCCTGTTGCTGGATTTGGCAACTCCATAGGCAGTATTTTTTTTTTTTAATTTTATGCCAGAGGAATCTCAATTAAAGTTTTGCTGGCTATGTTTTGCTAATTGTTCGACATATTAGCAAATTTTAAGTTTCTACTCTGTGAAATAATTATGTGTACTTGTTTCTGATTAGAGAACAACAAAGATATTTATTGGTTTATATCCACGCTTGATCCGAAAAGATTTGCAAGGGTTTGATGAGGATAGAGTTATTTTCTGCAACCTTCAAGGACTTTGGCTTTAATGTACATTTTGGAAAGCTTAAAATACGGCATTGCTGTGACTTGGAACTGCTCCATCCTTGCTCGCAAGCAGAGCATTTGCAGAATCAGCATTTCCTGTAATAGGATCATGTTGTAAAATGTGGTGCTATCTGCAAATAGATTAATAATATGTGAGGCAATGCCAGTTTTTATGCCTTATAATTTGGGATGATTTTCATCACCACTGTGAGTGGTTCTATTGTGAAAGCAAAAGGAATAAGTAGATTGCAGGCTTGATTCTTGCTAGATTGCAGTCTAGACTACAGCTTTTATTTTGGTGCAAGGCTTAGCTTCTTATGTAGAGAAATGATAACCTAAAGCACAGTTCTCTTAAATCATATTTTCTTTCCATTTATGAAGAAAGGCTGCCTCTAGGGAGTTTCTAATAGGCGAAAACATTTTTTTTTTTTTTTGCACTTTATGGTAGGGAATTAAATAAAAATTTCCTCTACCAGTGTGTGCCAAGTTCCCGTCCCTCACGAATCTGCTAGGGGTGACAGGAATCTCTAAAACTCTTTTTGTTGTATCTGTCCTGAGTTAGAACGAGAGCACAAATTAGGAATTTTCCTCTTTGCTAAAATGTACAATGATAATTCAAATACAGTAAATATCAATGAAGATTCCATCTTGCACCGTTCTCTCTTGCTTTTCTTAAGATTTTCAGTGATTCTTCCTTGCTTTTTTTCCCCCCTATGACCAAACATTGAGGTTAGAGTGAGAGTTTAGCAAAGTAATGAGTTTCAGGCAGTGTTATATGGCTAAGGAGGATAAAGTGACAAGATTGTTTTCCAAATGCTCATGGTATCTTTTTCACTTATATAGGAGGATTGCATAGGAATATATGGGTGTGTGTGTAGTACATATATTAGAGGAAAACACCTGTCCTTTTATTTTATTCTTTTTCTATGAAAATTTATCAGTGGACTATTTCAGTTGTTAACTTAGGAGTTTCAGGATACCAGCAGGCTGCTCTGGGCCAAAAAAGCTGATGATTATGTTTCCCTTAAGTTTTGAGACTGAATGTTTTAATATAAGGGTTGGAGGAGGCATGAAGGCACCCTGGGCGGAAACTGATGCACCTTCAAATCAGGTATTCTTGAGTGTTTGACCTGACTTTATTTAAAAGATATTTAAAAAAATTTTTAAGGTTTATTTTATTTTTGAGATATATGTAAAGAGACAGAGTGTAAGCAGGGGAGGGTCAGAGAGGAAGGGAGACACAGAATCCAAAGCAAGTTCCAGCTCTGAGCTGTCAGCACAGAGCCCGAAGTGGGGCTCCAACCCACGAATTATGAGATCATGACCTGAGCTGAAGTTGGACGCTTAACCGACTGAGCCTCCCAGGCGCCCCTGACCTGAATTTATTCAGAGGAAAAGCTGAGCACTCTGTGGAGTAAGGAGGACACTCAGGACCCCTGTTTTTAGTTTAGTTTACATTAGTTGTTTTTTTTTTTTTAGCTCTGACGCTAGGCTTACATACCATACTCAGTGTAACAAAGATCGTGCAATGAATTTGAGCAGTCTTTTGCTTTTTAATGGACTAAGGAAAGAATAATGAAAAACACTTATGAAATCACATGAAGCAAACAGATATTGAATATTTGGTCATATTTACTTCATATCTTCTGTCTCTTTTTTATTTCTTTGTTTTGAAAAGTTTATTTATTTATTTTGAGAGAGAGAGAGAGAGAGAGAGAGAGCGGGCGGGGCAGAGAGCGAGAGGGAGAGGGAAACCCAAGTAGACTGTGCTGTCAGTACAGAGCCTGACTCAGGGCTCCATCCCATGAACCATGTGATCATGTCCTGGACCAAAATAAACAGTCAGGCACTTAATTGACCATACCACCCAGGCGCTCCATCTCAGTTTCCTTTTTAAATAGAATAAAATATTACACCTAAAGGTGAAGGCCCATTTCTCCCCACTTTCCCCCAGAGGCAATGCTATCATGAATTTGGTTGTGAATTTAGCCCATATGTATATACTTTTTATGAATCTGTAAACAATATGGAATGATGCTGTGCATTTTTGTCATTTATATGAATGGTAGATTCCTTCATGCAATGTTCCAAAACAGGCTTTTTTTCCCCACTAAATCTGTTTTCAAGCACTATACGTGTAGATCCATATGCCTAATTAATTTTAACTATTTAGTATTCTGTTGTGAAATAACCACAATTTATTGGCCCATTCTCTGACTGATGGATATTAAAATTTTTCCAATGTTTCGCTACCATAAACATGGTTGCATTGCTCCTAATACCTCACCATTTGGTATAATTGCTGAAGACTTTTGGTAAAAAAATGAAAAACATTTGACCTTTTATCAAATTAAGAGAATAACCTTCTATTCCCAGCTCACTAGATATTTTAACTGCTTTCTTAAAGGCAGTTTTATAATTCTACTTGAGGGATGGGGATCCTTCTCCCAAGTCCAAAAGAGTTATCAGAAGTACTCCTTCAGGAGTGGCTGGGTGGCTCAGTCAGTTAAGCATCTGACTCTTGATTTTGTCATGATCTCACGGTTTGTGAGATCGAGCCCCACATCGCACTCTATGCTGACAGTGAGGAGCCTGCTTGGGATTCTCTCTTCCTCTGTCTGCCCCTCCCTCAGTCACACTCTTTTGCTCTCTCAAAAATAAATAAACTTAAGAAATATATCCCTTCAGATTTGATACAGTACTCTATCTAAAATAGAGATTTCATAAATTCAGTTTTTCACATTTTATTACAGTTTCCTTGATGTTTTGGCGCAACTTGTTGATCGGTTTCCTGGGAAGCTGCCCAGCTAGTCCACCCTTGAATTTGCCTCTGTTAATTTGTAAAGTCAATCATTAGGATATTCTTATAATATCCAGCTTGAAAACTAATTTATGTGTTAAACAAAGATTTCTCTAACTTATGATGATTCTTAAAATATTTTTAGGTTGGAGGATTCTACCTAAAACCAATGCTTAGCTTAATCAAAAAGAAAGAACAAAAATTAGTGATGCCCAGGTGGCTCAGTCAATTTAGCATCCGACTTTGGCTCATGTCATGATCTCATGGTTCCTGGGTCTGAGCCCCATGTCGGCTCTACCCTGGCAGTATGGAGCCTGTGTGGGATTCTCTCTCTCCCTCCCTCCTGCTCTCTGCCCATCTCCCACTTGTGGTCTCTCTTTCTCTCAAAATAAATAAACTTAAAAAAAAAAGAATGGACAAAAACTGTCATCACAGATTGAGGTGTTTTTGCACTGTAAAACAAAAACACTAATTTCTTTGGATTTGGGGTATTCATTTTTGTTAAGCATAAAAACCATATATCAGACCTAAATTTAAAAGAAAGTAGGGGCGCCTGGGTGGCTCAGTCAGTTAAGTGCCTGACTTCAGCTCAGGTCATGATCTTGCAGTTCGTTAGTTCGAGCCCCACATTGGGCTCTGTGCTGACAGCTCAGAGCCTGGAGACTACTTCAGATTCTGTGTCTCCCTCTCTCTCTCTCTGCCCCTCCCCTGTTTGCACTCTGTCTCACTCTCAAAAATAAACAAACATTAAAAACATCAAAATCAAAAAAAGAAAGTAATCTATACTGTAAATACAATATAAACTAGATATTTAGGGAGTAGGTAAAATGAAATGTTTATATATTTACTTTATCTTCAGTACATTTCGTACTACACAGTGAAGCTAGAATTACATAAATCATCCAGTGTTTATTATTTATTGTAATTTCTGTCAATGTGAGAGAATTGAAAACAGGAATTACTTAGGAAATAAATTTTCTCTTTGGTTGGAAGTAGCTGAAGCTTCCTGCGGTTGCCATTTCGGTAG